ACTAATTCTTTGTTACTTAGTGAATTCATCTTTTGAAGTTAAAAAATCCACACTTATAATGTCACACCTAACTTTCATTACTATTCACTAATAGAGTTGTTCAGCATTAATGATCCATAACCTAAATTTCATTCTTGAAGGTCCTATTCTTTGATATAGGAATCTTCACAATTAATCTTCCTTTAATGTTATTCATTTTCAATTAGTTGTGCTTCAATTCCATTGAATAACCTTTTTCAAGTAGGTTGTTCTCCATGTAGGAACATAAACAACATATGAGATGAATACATGCTTACCGTGTTTCCTTTGAATCAATACACTTCTTACTCTCTCAGTTGTTACAATGTTGTCAGCAAACTTTACCTTCATCTTTATTTTTAAATTTTGGTTAGAAAACCATTGTTTATGGCCACATAGCTAGAGCAACCTATGTCCAAATACTAAAGATCAATTTTATCATCATTTGATTCAGTACTCAACATTAGTAGAACTACATCATCACTTGTGTCCTCTTCATGTGCTAATTGTCCCTCATCATCCTTTTCATTTGTCTTTAATTTGAACCTATCTATGAAATGTTCCCATTTACCACATAAATAGCATTGAATATGTAAGTTTTTTTTTTTTTTTTTTGTCAAACCCTTTCCTCTAATTCTTATTTTGAGCCTTACTCTTTCCTAAGTTATTTTCACTAGATTTTTTTTTCTATCGAACTTGGCCTCCTTGTTGTATTACACTATTTTCCCTTCATTTCCTTTGTCTTTCACTTTCTTTGTAATTTTCTCACTAGTTTGAACTTATAGGACTTGCATAGTGGATCTCTCAAGATGTCTTTTCATTAAGGCATTAATATGCCTCAAGTGAACCTTACAACTCTTACACTTTCAAAATCTCAAGGTTCTTGAATCTCTTTATGGCCACCACTAAGTGATTGAATCTTGACGTCAGGGTTGTAAATACTTTCTTCACTATCATTAAATTTACAAACTTTTAATGTGTACATATTTAGTATATTATTCAAGTATAAATCAATACCAAAATGTTGCATAATCATGCATTTTATTTAGACTTAGCATGCATTTTCTTTAGCTTGTTTAGATAAGTACTACATTTTGTTTTATATGTAGATAAAGAGTTAAAGGAGATTCTAAAAGTAATTTAAAGCTTAGAAAAAAGGAATTTGGACCCTTAGAAGAGTCTATTGGATGCCAGTAAAATTCCTTATAGTTGTGGAATAAGCCCATGCAAAAAAGAAATCATTATTCAAGTACAAAAAATATATTGACAACTCGTGGAAATTCTTACGAATGTGGTTTGTGTTGCTAAGGGCTAAAATTTAAGTTTTACAACTTTAGAGAGATTTATAGTCTTAATTGAGCAAAAACAACACAAACTTCATAATTTCTATCAATTTTAAGAATTTTGAAATGGTTTATAACACTCTAACTATGAATAAAAAAAGTTAGGACACAAAATAAGGGTTTAACCTCAAACATTCTTGGAGACTTACATGCTCGGAAAGAATTAAAAAAGTAAACTTAAAATATTCAAAATAATTGTAAAGATATTTTGGACCAAGATTTTAAAAGTATAACTACAATATTTAAAAGAGGAATATACCTCGATGGTATTGATTAAAATTATTTCTATTTTTTATTCTTATCTTCTTTTTTTCTTATTCCTCCAAATTATGTTTAGGTTTATAATAGAAAAAAAAAAGTGTAAGAAAAAAAAGATTAGGTAAAAATGTATGTATAAAATACCAAGTTAACATTTATTGCAAGAATTAAGAAAATGAATAGTTTAAAAACATAGTTATTTGTAATGCATTAAGATGTTTTATATAACATCACTATTTCTAATGAATACACAGTTACACATTCTTACAAGTAGATAAATACAACATATTTTTATGTAAGTTTGTGCCAGATGTTGTTTGAAATAAACATTTTGTGACAATCATGCTTTATCTCTATTTTAAAGTCAAGATATTATGATTTTGGGATATATGTATAATACATATCTATAAATTAACAAGGTAGCTTAATATAAAATATAGTAAACAAATAAATTTAATTGTATAGAGCAAGTTATTGACACTATTGACATGTATCACAAAGCAAGAAAAATAGCAACAAAATGTGCAATCCAATTCAATTTATAAATAAAATAACATTATTTTATAAGTTCAACAAACACAACAAAGTAAGTTAGTGAAAGAACAAGAAGTTACATAAAAAAAGGTAACTAAAAAATTCTTCATTTATCTTTCTTTTGTGTTTCACAAAATTTATGAGCTTAGTTTACGCCAAAGAAAAATCACAAGAAAGGCAAACAAAAATGATAAAAAGAAAAAGCCTAATACATTTAAGTAAAAGATAAACTAAGAAACTATAACAAGCTTTCAAATGCATTGCATAAAAAAATAGAAAAATAGAATGACTGTCCTATCTTGGACAGTCATAATGTTATTCATACCAATTTTTTCTTTTTGATAAATTTAAGAGTATAAGTAAAAGTAAAAAATAAACAATATAAAAAAGAGCAAAGTGTAAATAAAATAAAAACAAATACAAATGGTATCGGTCAGTATATAACAAATGTTTGAAATATAGATGTTACAAATACAAAAGATTTATTAAACATAAAAAATGTTGCCCAAACAATTTCCTAGTGATTAAAATATCAAGGTTAAATAATTAAAATAAATAAATTATTAAAAATATTTATTATATTAACGGTGTAAAAGTATAAACAATACTTTAGTTTTTAATAAAACTTTAAAAGTATTATTGATTGTTTAACTCAACTAGAAAAACACAAAATGATTTTAAAACACTACACCAAAAGAGATATTAAAAGTGCTTATGCATAGTCTTGGAGAGCGATTAAAACCACTTTAATAAGCATTGTTATGCAAAATAAATATATTTAAAGAATGATTCATAATCGCTTTTTAAATGTCAATTGAAGACCAATTTTTATAATTTCTCTCTAAGTACTTTGTACAAGTCACCAAACTAAAATTTAAAACTTCTTTTTTTATGACTTTTTTACTACAAACTAAAATAATTCTTAAAACTTGAGTTTGTAATCTAAAATTTGAATTTTTTTTTAATGTGTTGAGATCTAAAATCTAACAAGAGATTTCATTGTTAAGATAGAAAGAGAAAAGTGAAAAAAAGTACGAATAGTCGTTAAAAAGGCTAATATTTTTTAGTGTAAAGAGAGAGTTATTATCATCTTTGTAAGGATAATATCAAAATTCATATTTAGTGGTGGAGAAAGAAATGAAAGTAATGAGAGAAAAGGAAAAAGAAGAGATGACTTTGTTATTGGAAGTTAAGTGGTGTTTTACCCTTATGTGTTTATAAGTTAAAAGTAATTAAAATATTTTAAATTTTTAATTTGTAAGAGCGATTAGTAATTGTTCTTCAAAATGATTCTTAATTGTTAAAATAATCATTCTTTAAAAGTGACTATAAACTCTAAAAGTGACTTTAGAGATCATTTGCGTACTAATCACTCTCTACAGTCATATTTAAAACATAACTATATTATTTTCTTCATCAAGTGACTGTTTCAAAAGATTAAAATTGTGTAGTGAAATCTTACTTAATTTATATTATTTTATTAAGTATTAAAATTGTTGTAATATTAAAACAAAATAAAATCAATGACAAATACATATAAATTTATTTAATTATATTACACTTTATAATTAATGTTCCTCTTTCAATTTAAAAAAAAGTATGAGAAAGAAAGATAATATCAAAAAATATTAATTAATACTTTCTTAATTTTATAAAATAAAAATTATATTAAATAAAATTAAATTTTTTAAGTAAAAATTATTTTAAAAGAACATAATATCATGGATCTAAATCCTCTATATTTTTTTTGTGTAAATTGCCGTCTACCATGTATTTTTACTTAAGAAAAATATGTAAAAAATAATTTTTGCTTAAACCTAAAAAAATTTCTTAAGAAAAAATAAAAATTTTTACTTAAAAGGAAAGAGGAAAGAAAAAAAAAAAAAGACTATGGGGAGAAGAGGGGTGAAAAGAGGGCAATGAGAAAGGAGAATGTAAGTGGTTGGATGAGAAAAGGGTAATGAAAAAAAAAAAAACAAAGAAAACTTGAAAAAGAGAGCAGGAAGAATTATACGTTTGCTTAAATAAAAACACATTATAAGCTCTACAGCTTATACTAACTAAGTATATAATCTATTTCTGAATATCACTTTAAAATATATTTGAATTAAGTTATTTGGATAAAATAAATTTTATTTAAAAATTTAAGATAATTGATTTTACATTTTTAAATTCTTTTATTAACAAGTTTAGACAAAAAATATTATGTTTAAATTAGCTAAAAAAATAAATTATTACAATCATTAATTACATGTATAATTAATTATATGTATAAAATTTGTGTTTAAACATACTCGATAAAAAGTAATTTTAAAATAATTTATTATGTTTAGATAATAAAAAGTAATCACATTTAAAATTAAAAAAATAATGTTATGTTTAATATTTAATTATATATATAAATAATTATTAAGAATAAAATAAGAAAATAAAAGTTAACTATAAAATAAGTTAGTTTCTTTTAATCATAATCGTAAGTTCTAAAATTTTGCTTATCTTGTATAAGTTGTTTATTTTATAAAAAATTAAATATTTTAAGCTGATTTTTGAAAATCATCCAAACAAAAATATAATATATATCTTTTTTTTTTTAATATTTTTTCAAAACACACTAAGCATTTTATCAAAACTTACTGTACTTGTTATCGGTTCTGAGTTAAATTAATATATATATATATATATATATATTTTTTTTTTTTATTATTATTATTTTTTTTTATGAGGTCATTAACATTGAACCTTAAGGTTACACTCAATGTCCCGCTAGAAATTCCTAATTTTGAAATAACTAGTTAGACTGTTGAACTTGATTCCCTGGGTCTTTTCTAACTCGGACGAGTTAACTCGCTACCAACACTGGTCCGTTTCCCAACTCCGACGAGTGTAGCTGGAAAATCCAAACGACGTCGTCCCGAGCGGTCGCTGATGTTGGAACAACCTCCTATCATAGCTGGCACGCTTCTCGGGATCCGATAGGGTGCAGTAGGCAGCATGGATCTTCATGAACTCGCCCGCAGCCGATTCCTTCCGATCCATTGCCACCACGTCCGGGTGGCAAACCCTCGCGAGTCGCCGGTACGCCGCCTTGATTTCCTTGCCGGACGCGGCGGTTCCAATTCCAAGAATCTCGTAAAGCGTCGTGCACGAAGCCATGCTGTTAGGGCTCAAATACGGTCTCTGTGCTTGTTGCTCTTCCTTCCAAGTAGAGTTAGCTTCGGCGGCGGTGGCGAAGGAGACTACTGGCCGGAATTTGACGTGGCTCGGCGATGAAGAAACGGTTTTGCCGGGAAAAGTGGCGGCGGAGATTGGTGTAGGAAAAGGTTCTGTGAACATGTATCGGTATTATACGACGCGGTTGTTAGAAGTTGAGGCTTTGGGAATTGGGAGGAATGAGGATATGGAATTTGGATTTGGTTGGTATATAAACAGGAGAAAGAGGGAGTGAAGACAAGGATATGTTGTCCAATGTGACTATGATCATTATGCTCTGTTTCTGTTTTAACGTTAAAAGAATAAAACAAACTTATTGATGTTTGATTTTCAGTGGTGCTGACTCGAAGCTTGTTCTATGATAAGGATGATTAAATTTTTACTAAAAGAGAATCTAAATCTGATTTGTCTGATTTTTGTTAATTTGGACTAGGTTTAAGTAATTAATAATTATAAAAAATTATTAAAAAAGTTTATGATATTTATTATAATAAATATATTTTAATTAAAACTTTATAATTCTTAAATACTTAAATTTAATTTTAAAAGTTGAGATTATCAAAATTAATATTTAAATGGTATTAATATAATACTTATTTTTATTATAAATTATTACACGATTGAATGTATATATTCATAATTTATATTTATTCTTTGTAACTTACAATTTTGTAACTGCTTTGTTTAATTTTTATTAAAAAAAATAAGATTTTTTGGTTATAATTTTAGGCCTATAAATAAGTCTCTCGTTTATATTGAAGATATGTGAAATGAAATTGAGATTTTTTCTTCCTCTTTATATTTTTCTTTCTATTTTTTCTTATAATTTTACATTCATTTTATAACACAACACTAGGGCTTTACTACACACTTTTGCAAGAAAGAAACATTCTTGAATAAAGAGATATGGACGACACCAACAATGAAGACATATGTCTTGTTAATAGTGCAACAACTCACACAATTTTCAAAAATAAAAAATATTTTTCCTCATTTAGTGATGTAACAAGCTAATGTGAGTAGTATATCTCGTAGTACAAAAATTATTGAAGGCTCCGATAAATCTAATATATTGTTGCCTGGTAGAACAAAATTACACATTGTTAGTGCATTATACTCCACTAAGTCTCATAGAAACTTATTAAGTTTTAAAGATATCTGCAAAAATGGATACCATGTTGAAACAACAAATGAAGGAAGAAAAGAATACATGTACATCACAAAAATTATCTCAAATAAAAAATGTATGTTAGAAAAATTACTTTTTTTTTTCTTCTGACTTATATTATACACATATAAATATAATTGAAACACACATTAGTGTAAACCAGAAGTTTATAAATCATGATAATTTTTTTATTTGGCATGAACGATTAGGCCATCCTCGATCAATCATGATGCAAAAAATAATTGAAAATTCATGTGGACATTCATTGAAGAGCCAACAAATTCTTCAATCAAATAATTTCTCATGTGTTGCTTGTTCTCAAGGAAAACTAATTAGTCGACCATCATCAGCTAAAATTGGAAATGAATCTATCATATTTTTAGAACGTATACAAGATGATATTTATGGACCAATACACCATCATGTTGACCATTTAGATATTTTATGGTTTTGATTGATGCATCAACGAGATGGTCACATGCTTGTTTGTTGTCAACTCGTAACCAGGAATTTGCGAGATTACTTGCACAAATAATTTGTTTAAGTGCTCATTTTCCTGATTATCCAATTAAAAAAATACGCTTTGATAATGCCAGTGAATTTACATCTCGAGCTTTTAATGATTATTGTATGTCTATTGAGATTGATATTGAGCATCCTGTAGCACACATACATACTCAAAATGGACTTGCTGCATCATTGATCAAGCGTCTAAAATTAATTGCAAGACCATTACTAATGAGATCAAAACTTCCAATTTCTACTTAGGGACATGCAATCTTGCATGCTGCAACACTTATTCGCATGAGACCAACAAGCTATCATATGTTATCCCCTTTGCAATTAGTTTCTGGTCAACAACCAAATATTTCTCACTTAGAATTTATAGATGTGCAGTGTATGTTCCTATTGCTCCACCACAATGCACTAAGATGGGTCCTCAAAGAAAGTTAGGAATATATGTTGGCTATGAATCTTTATCTATAATAAAGTACCTTGAGCCAATGATAGGAGATTTATTCACTACTCGATTTACTGATTGTTATTTTGATGAATCATTTTTTCCTACTTTAGGAGGAGAAAATAAACATTTGAAAAATGAGATAAGTTGGAATGATTTATCTTTATCTCATCTTCATCCTCGAACAAAATAGTGTGAACTGAAAGTTCAAAAGATAATTTATTTGCAAGGTTTATCCAACCAACTACTAAATGTGTTTACGAATCCAAAAACAGTGACTAAATCATATTGCCTGGCTGCTAATGCTCCAATCAAAATTAATGTTCTAATTGAATAATCTAATGTTGCAAATCAATTTGAATCACGTATGAAGTGTGGTAGACCTTTTGGTTCCAAAGATAAAAATCCAAAAGGAAAGGAACTAAGAATCGATGTGACCAAAATGAGGATGTAAAGACTCTAGAAGAGTCATCAGACATAATTTATATTTTAGTTCTCAAAGAAACACAGGTACCTGAAAATGATCAATAGAATACAATAGAACCGAAATGAAGTCAATGTAGATGATATTTTTTCATTTAATGTAGCATTGGATATGATAACTGATATAAAGGATCATGAACCAAAATCAGTCAACGAGTGTAGACAAAGAAGTGTTTGGAAAAAATTAGGGATGACAATGGGTAGGGTATGGGTAGGGTACTACAGTACCCATCCCCATACCCGCGTTTTAAAAAAATACTCGTACCCGGCCCCATACCCGCGTGGGTATGAACATTAATCCCCGTACCCTCTGAGTACCCGCATACCCGTCTTGTACCCATTACCCGCGCTTGTTTGAGAAAAAAATATTTATAGAGAAAAATATGTTTATATAACTTCACATAAGTAGCATAATAATACAAAAATTCAATATGTAGTTGCCGAACAAGGTACAAATATAGATAAAAAACAAATATTCAAAGATCATAAATGTTGAATGTATCTTAATATAATAATTTTTTAAACTAAAATTCTTAGAAACAATAAGCAAAACTAAACACACAAGTTATTTGTCAGTGATAATCCTATCTTGTGTGAGATTTGATTGTTGGTAATGTCAGAATGATAACGAAATAGATCTGTACAATGGTTGTCCCTTCGCGTGGAATCACTTAATAACCTCTTGTGATGACATTAACAACTAACTCTAATGAATAACATTTTATAGTTATTAAGTTTTAACGAGACAGACATTGAGAATGAGAATAGAGTTAGAGTAGAGAAGTTCAATACTAACAACAGAAAGTTGATACATAAAATATTTTTTTTAACTTTTGAATTTGAAATTGTAAGAAAAATAATAGATTTAATTAAAATAATATAATAATTAATATATATATATATATTAATACTAGTATTTTTTAACTCATATACTATACGAAAGTATTTTATCAAAAATATAAATTTTTGAAAAATTATTTTAGTGAATTAAATATTTATAATGTTTATAAATTAAAAAAAAAGAATTTGAATAAAAGATAAATAGTTACAATAAAATTTTATAATAAAGAAATATACGTGTATATTAAAAAAATTATACTTTTTTATCTTAAAAAATTAACAAATAAAAATTAATAATAATTTTTTATATTTATATCTTTTCAAAAACTTCTTTGAATGTGAATAAATAGTAAGAATAATATTATTTAGATTCAATAGATTATAGTTGTGCTTGTAATACATATGTTACATAGAAAAATATTATTTTAAATTAAAATATAAAAATAAAATTTAAATATTATTAATAAATAATAAGTTTACGGTAATAGGTGATTGTAAAATTTATAAAATATTTATAATATATTTATTATTTATCATTCACTTTATGATTTAAACATCAATATGATTTTATTAACAAAAATATTTGTGAAAAAAATATTTTGTGTCATATATAAATAATATTTTAAAAAAAGTCAATCTTATATTAACTTTATAATAATTAAATTGTGTTAGCCTGATTAAATGATATAAATAGTAAATAAATTTTTCTATTAAATTTTTTGGTTTACTTTATTATTAAATATATTTTTATATTAATCTTATATAACTTCACATAAGTAATATAATAATACAAAAATTCAATGCATAATTGTAGAATAAAGTTCAAGCATATATATATATATATGCGGGTATGGGGCGGGGTGGGTACTTAGATACCCATACCCGCACCCATCCTCATTAAAATTTGTAGGTTTTTACCCACACTCATACCCGTACCCGTATAGCAGGTAAATACCCTACCCATTTGGGTAAATTTTGCGGGTGCCCATCGGGTACTTTACCCATTGCCATCCCTAGAAAAAATGAAAAGCTGCAATTGAGGAAGAATTAATGTCGCTTACAAAGCGTCAAGTTTTTGGACCTATAGTTCGTACACCTGAAGATGTAAAGCCAGTTGGATATAAATGAATTTTTGTGCGAAAATGAAATGAAAAAGGTGAAATTGTGAGATATAAAGCATGACTTGTTGCCCAAGGTTTTTCGCAAAGACCTGGTATTGATTTTGAGCAAACATATTCACCTGTAGTGGATGCAAATACTTTTCGATACTTAGTCAGTTTAGCAGCAAATGAAGGACTCGATTTGCGATTAATGGATATTGTTACAGCCTATTTGTATGGCTCACTTGATAATGACATTTATATGAAACTCCCTGAAGGTTTTAATTTATCAGATGCATACAATTCAAATTCTAGATAAGGTTATTCAATCAAGTTGAATAAATCACTTTATGGATTGAAACAATCTGGACACATGTGGTATAATTGCCTTAGTGAATATTTGTTGAAGGAAGGATATAAAATGATCCTATTTGTCCATGTATTTTTATAAAAAGATCTTATAATGAATTTGTAATAATTGTTGTTTATGTTGATGATTTAAATATCATTGAAACTCCTGAAGAGATTTTAAAAACAGTAAATTTCTTAAAGAAAGAATTTGAAATGAAGG